AATCAGATTAGTAATCATAAAGTTGCATGATAAGCATGGAATCAGAGCAAAGGTAGACAATTTTAAGGGACAATTTAATGTGGGTCCCAGTGAGGTCTGCTGATTCAGCTCTGTATCAAACCCTAGTTATCAAAGCCCGCCACTGTGACTCTGCTTTTCAGTCCTAAGTCCTAAGTTCATGGACTAAGCCTGGTCAGCCACCTTCAGACTGACATTCTTTTTTTGTCTACTAATACAATCAGTCGTTTTAAATCATTTCTCCCCAACCTATCCAAGGAACAGGGCATCCTTCTACCATTCTTCCCAAAATAGGAGCTAGAATGACATGCATAAGAATTTATAAAGGGTGGGTCCACGTAGATTGAGAGCACACCTGTCACCACCTCATCTGTTTCTGCCACAACACCCTCCTGTTGCTTAAGAACAACTGTGAAAGCCTATGCTAGCAGTATCAAGTCCTAAATGCAAGCATATGATAATACCACCAGGAGCTTGAATGGATTAATATGAAGGAACTGATCTCTAATCAAAAAACCTTTTTACATTTTAACTCTAGTAACTATTAATAACTTTACATCTGTAGCCTATTTTCTTAGTAGTTTGAATTGACAGACAATAACATTTCTTTGAAAATTGAAATTTTAGTGTTTCAAGTTAATCATGTGTTTGCATGGCACGTTTATATTTAAGAAATTGAGTTTAATAAACAGTGAACATAGGACATACATACCCTTAATGTTGTTTCTACACCTAAATTTCTTGTCTGTGTTTTCTCTAGCCTTTAATTTTCCTTGAGCAGAAAATAGAAAATATCTTCTTAATTAAGTGTAATGATCATGTGGAATCTAAATCATTGCTATCCTACTAAACTTAATAATTTCAAAAGTATTTATTGAGTCTTGGATATGTGTTATATGACCCTTATTGTTCAAACTGGCATGCTTTTAAGAATAAAGCTGGCATTATTAATATTTGTATTGACAGAGGCTTAAACCCAGACAGCCCCATACTGTATTCACTGAGATGTCTGTCAAATCAGCAGTCCAATAAACACCTGAGTTTGTTACGGGATATACAACAATGCACAAAGTAAACATGGCTCTTATAAGTGTTTATTGTCAGGCAAGAACAACAGAAAGAACAAAGAATTACAATTGTAATGAATGTTGTAAAGGAGAAGTGCAAGATGTTATAGGAATGTGAAAGGATGGACCTGACTTGATTTTTATCAATGAGTTTCAGTTACAACTATGTGTGGGAAAGAACTAGGCAAAGCAGCCATGTTTAATGACTTAATAGAAAAAAATAAAAAGCAAGTAGGAATGATAAGTCAGCTAGGGTCAGGTCACTCAGTTCCTATATAAAATTTTAGATTTTATTCCAGGGCAAAGGGAGTTAAGTAGGAAGTGGATATTAACAAGCACACACTTTAAAAAAAAAGAAATTTGGCTGTCGCATTGTTCACAGGTTGAAAAATTATTTCTGTTAAGAAGCCAAATATACCTGAAATCTATCTAATGTTATAAAAGATGCTACTTTAAAAAATTTTTTTAAAAAGCTGATAAAGTGAGTATTTTTTGTGGGCCATTTGATCTCTGTTGCAGCTACTCAACTCTGATGCTATAGTGTGAAAGTACCACAAACAATACATAAAAGAGCATGGCTGTGTTTCAAGAAAATTTTATTAATGAACACTGATATTTGAATTTCATATAATTAATTGTGTCATGAAGTATTCTTTTGATTTTATAAAAATTGCTTATAAAGACCATTCCTACTTTATGAGCCATACAAAAATGGGCATCAAGACTATTTGGCTCTGGTCTAAGAACACAGAAGGCAGAGAGGGGCTTAAAACGAGCAAAGGGGTGGGTTAGAGAAGATTCTAGAGATGACTCTTAAGCCACAGTTGCACGGTTCTTCTTACAAGACAGAAAACCTCAGTTGTAAGTATCAAAAAATGAAGCTGCCACTGTCCTCTGGCCCCACAAACTCTAGGTCTCAATGGGCTATCTAGAAAGGGTTAGCACTCTTTTATTATTAGCTCAGCACCTAAATAGTTGTGAATTAAGCTGAAGTGCTATAAATTACTTCATGAATGAACACACTAATAGTTTAAACACATATGTAAGTATTGTGATCTTCATTGTTTTCTATTATGAAAGGATACTGGATTTTGTCATGTATTTTCTCAACCGATGTGATGTTATTTTTGCCCTCTATACTACTGATATGGTCTATTACACTGATTTTCACGTGTTGGTGTTTCATATGTTGATGTATAAATCACACTTGGTCATGGTATATAATAATTTTTTATGGTGCTGGATAGGTTTTTGGTAATGTTTTGTTGAGGATTTGGATATCTGTATTCATAGAGATAATGAAAAAAACATAATTAACAGAGATTAGTGTATACTTTTCAAAAAAATTTATTTCATTTATTTATGCATGCAAGAGCTAAGTACATGTAGGCCAGAGGTGTGGTCAGTAGGTAGGCAGTGAGAAGATTCACCAGAGACAGAATGGGGAGCAGAACAGGCAGATCTCCTGAAATATACTGCTGAGGGGAGCTTCAGGGGAGAAAAGAGACGTCTATTGTGCTATGCAGGTCTGCTCTTAGGAGGGATCAAACTGGAGCTGCATTTGCTACCAAACACTTCATAGTGTTGAAACCTAACACCTTGCGCCACTAGGGAGGCACTAGTTTGTAGTTTGTGTGTTTTTTTTTGATGGTCTTTGATTTTAGTATGAAGGTAATACTAAAGGCAATATAGAGTTAGGTGAAAAGTGTTCTCTTTTAACTTTTAGAATATTTTGTAAAGGATAGGTGTTAATTTGCTCTGGTAAATTAACACCAATAAATCTATCTATTACTGGACTTTTCTTTGTGAGGTGTTTTTTTTTTAAATTACTAATTCAATCTCCTCCCTTATTATAGGAATATATTATCTTCAAATTTCATATTTTTACTTGAGTCAGTTTCAATAGCTTGTGATTTTCTAGGTATCTGTCCTTTTCATTTAGGTTAATTTCTTCTCTTTTTTCCTCATATTATTCTTATTATTATTTATTCTTCATTTTGTGCATTTTTCATTTCAGTTGTAATACCTGTGGGATTCCCATCACCAATTCACCCATGTTCCATCACCATAGTCCCATGCGCTCTTTCCACCCCAGTAGGTTAACCAATTTCTGGACATACAATTGTTCATAGTATTCCCTTATAATACATTTCATTTTTGCACAGTAAGTGGTCATGTTTTCACTTTTACTTTTGATTTTAGTCTTCTCTCATTTTTCATTATCTGTCTAGCAAAAGGTTTGTCATTTTTGTTGATCTTTTTGAGTAAAGAACTTTTGGTTCTCTTGATTGTCTCTCTCTATTCTTTATTTCATTTGTTTCTGTTCTAATATTTATTACTTCTTGGATTCAACTTACTCTGAGTTTAGTTTATTACCCTTTTTCTAATTTCTGAAGGTGGAAAGTTATTTGAATTTCTTATGTTTATAGTTATAAATTTCTTTCTAAGTACTTTCTTGTAAGTTTTGCACGCTGCATTTTTGTTTTCATTTGATTCTAAGTCTTTTCTATTTTCCTTTGTGATTTCTTATTTCAACCATTGGTTATTTTAAGAGTGTTCTGTTTATTTTCTAGTTTCTGTGAATTTCCCAAATTTCTTTCTGTTATTGACTTCTAATTTCATTCCACTGTGGTCAGAAACTTATTTTTTATTATTTTAATTATTTTGAACTTTTTATGGCTGTCATGACCTAGTGTGTGATTTGGTCCGGTAAGTGTTCCATGTACTCTTAAGTAGGATACATTATTCTGCAGTTTTTTGAATAGTGTTTCTTGTAGATTTCCTTTAGTTCAGTTAAAAGTTTTTTTAAGTCTTCTATTTTCCTGTCGATCTTTTTTTTTTTATTATTACTCTATCCATCACTAAAGTGGGAAATAAAAATCTTCACTTGAATTGTCCATTTCCCCTTTAGTTTAATCTACTTTAGTGCTCTATTGTTAGGTACAAAAAAGTTAGTAATTGTTATGAATATCAGATGAATTACCTCTTTTACTATTGTAACATATCCTTTCTTGTCTCTATTAATTTTTGTCTTAAAGTCTATTTTGTCTGCTATAATTATAGGCATATCAGCTCTTTCTTGATTATTGCTTGCATGGTAGATCTTTTTCCATCATTTTACTAAACATATTTCTGTATCTTTAAACCTAATGTGATTCTTAGAAACAGTATATAATTGGATCATGTTTTCAAAATTCATTCTGTATATGCTCTGCATTTCGATTTAAGTTTAATCCATTTATATATATTTTTTTTTTTAAAGATTTATTTATTTGTGCATACAGAACTGGGGTACAGGCCAGAGGCTCAGGGGCGGCGAGAGGCTTCACCAGAGACAGAGTGGGGAGCAGAACAGACAGATCTACAAAGTACACTGCTGAGGGGAGCAGCGGGCGGGTCAGGAGAGGTCTGCCACGCCATGTGGTCTCCTCCGGGGCAGGCGGGAATTGAACTCATGCGGAAGCGGCTTCAGATTCTCAGTGCTGTGCTTTAACCCGCTGCGCCACCAGGGAGGGCCCTAATCCATTTATATTTAATGATTTAATGTAATTCTGCCATTTTGCTTGTTGTTTTCTATGCGTTTTATATCTTTTTTGTTCCCTTTTTTCTCCATTACCACCCTATTAGCTATGAAATAAATATTTTATAATGTTTTATTTTAATTCCCTTAATGTTTTTTTCATTAAATTTTTTTAAGTCATTTTCTTGGTAGTTACCCTGGCATTTGTAAACAGCATCTTAACTTATTACTCTGGATTTTGTTTTGCTTCAAATTTATTCTTGGAATTTGACAAGTGAAGTAAAAATTAAACTCACAGAAATAAAACAAGAGATTTTCAATTCACGAAAACTGTTTAAGTACAAATTGTAAGGTTGCTATTATAATAAGCACCTGACTCTAGTATGAACACTTACCTTTTCCAGTAATACATTCTGCCACAGCCTAAAGATACTGAGGTAACTTCTATCTCTGGCACCAAAGGATGTAAAGAAAAACTGCAAAAAAAAAAAAAAAAACCAACGATGTTAGAGTCACAAAAAAAATGGGGGGGGGGGTAAAGTATCACAAAAGTCTGCTGGCATTTGCTATAATAAAAGGAAATTAATAGGTGACTACTGCCTACTTTATATGGCATTATTATTTAAGTTTAGTTGTGGGTCTCCATTGTGGCACAGGAATTAAATGTCAGTCCTCTCACCACTGTGGCCTGAGTTCAATCCCCAGCCACCGAAGGGACCCAAATATGGCATGGCAGACCTCTCCTGTTTTGGCCACTGCTCCGCTTGGTCATGTATTTCAGTCAACCCATCTGCTCTGCTCCCCACTCTGTCTCTGGTGAATCTTTTCATCCCCTTTACCTCTGGCCTACTTCCCAGCTCTTCTACACATAAATAAAAAAAATCTTTAAAAAACAACTTTCAGTTGTATAGAAGACAGTGTATGAATGGGGCATTTTCACAAATTATATCTTATACCAACTAAATTTTATAATATTTACTAAACATTTTGTCAATATCTACTAGTGGGTAAATATTATTTCTTTGTTGTTTAACTATGATTTATGATAGCCAGATAGATAGGTAGAAAGATAGAGCTATATAAGTGGGTATATGTATATCTTATGTAATTACAGTAATTATATATACCTTTCTTTATACTGCCCACTTTAAGGAGCACAATGACAGCCCTCTAGAAATGGACACGAGTGATTCTAAATATCAGGCTCCCCTAAAAGAAGTCAAGAGTCTTTGCAAAAATGGCTGATTGCAGGCCTTAGGTGGGGAAAGTCTCTTACACCTTCCACCAATAAACACAGAAATATTCAAACACTGCTGAAAATAGTAAAAAAAAAAAAAAAAAAAAAA